TTTAGATGGATATCATTGTATCTGATTTTCCTATTTTCATTATTCTATTGTCATATTCATTCTGGCCTCTTTATTATTGGAATGTGATATGTTTTGGATATTTGTACCCTCGAGATCTCATGTTGAAATGTGATTCCAGTGTTGGAGGTGGGTCCTGGTGGAGGTGTTTGGGACTTAAAAGAAGATTCTTTATTAATGACTGATGCCTTCCCCATGGTAATAAGTGAGTTCTCACACTAGAGCTGGTTGTTAAAAGGCGCTTCATACCTCCTCCTTGCTCTCTCTTGCTCCCTTTCTTCAATGTTACATTCCTGGACCCCCTCTCCTTCAGCCATGATTGTAAGCTTCCTAGGGCCCTCACCAAAAGCAGATCCCAGCATCATGCTTCCTGTGTGTGTGGCTTGCAGAACCATGAGCCAAAATAAACCTCTTTCCTTTGTGAACTACAAAGTCTCAAGCATAACAATATAAAGAATTTCGCCCTGAGAAATAAACAAGAAACTGTATAACACTGCCTTATTCTGGGCATAAAATTGGTGTTACCTGTAGAGAGTAGGGTCACCAGATCTACATTTGATTTGTGCGTACCTCCCAGCTCTGCCACTTAACCTTTGGGCACAACTGTTCTCCCCTTCCACTTCTGTTTCCCTAACTTTGCCTCAGTTTCCTTACTTTTGAGTACTGTCACTTGTACTTCTAATCTCAGTCTATTCATCTCCTTTCCCACTGTCAGCGATTAGCCATAGTTAATTATCCCTGGACTGTTTTTAGGCTCCTGACTGGTGTTCCTTACTTGGTCTTTCCACTGTCTGCTTTATACTACCTGCAACCTCCGGGTTAATTATCTTGATTGTCGTACCCATTCTCAAGAATTTTAAACACTGTCACACTTCACTAACAAAGTAAGTTTTGAGACCCCAGCCCAGCCTTCGAAAGTCTTTATATATGGCTTGTCAGTTATATTTTTCCTCCTTGACACTCCCTCTCTTTGCATATTGCTTTTTACTCTGCTTAAGCATGTTCATATGCATGCCTAATCTCCCTTTACAGGCTGTAAGTCACATGTAAAAGAAGACCGTATCTTAGTTATTTTTGTTTCTTGCACAATATCTTGTACATTATATGTACATAATGAATGAATGGGGGAGTAAAGATAATTTATTGTATGTCAATTATAAAAAAAATTAATTTGGCTTTTCTTGGTAAGTCAGTGTTGTCATTCTGAATATCGGTTTCAAAGCTTTATTGGGAACCAATTATGAGAAGGTCGTCTGCTATGTGTAGGGAGGTAACTATGGATAACATTACCTTTTAAGGTGTCCTGCTAAATTTATTCTATGTGCTATGTATTGGAAACTGTATAACAAAGGTAGTTTAAAACAAGTATAAAGTGGCTTTGAGTCACATTTTCAGAGATAATTTTCATATCTCTGAATTCCAAAAAGGATGATGGAATTGTGGTGCTGTGTAGGTCCCGTATCATGTATGTGTGTGTATGTCTCTGTGTATGAGCATGCACGTGAGAGAGAGTGAGGCAGTACTCGAGTGAGAGAACACGCAAAACAAATCAGTTGCTCAAATAACCTCTTTAAAAAGGTTTGTTCTAATTGTAAGCAGTATTCACAAAACATGGAGTTTCCTGATACTTGAGTGATATATGATAGCAATTCACAATTACAAAGCTTTTTCACACTCATTACCTTTTACCTAGTGTTTACATATCTTGAAATTTCTGTATTTTAAAAGCCACATTTTCTAAAGGAAGCTATTGTGTTCCCTAAGTAATGTAGACACAGAACTGGGTGATTTGCACAATTGGATATAGAAAAATTTTTTGATTAAATTATGTCAGAGAAGCATGTCTAAACTAATGTTTGGCAACTTTCTCTATGGCTTTTATAAGCTTTTTCTTTATGGTCACCAACTATATAAAGTAAGTAGATTCTAACATTTTCAGTATGATGATCTCTTTCAGTGTCAAAGAGAAATGAATTCTTATATAATATTTTTTTTTTACTTTCCTTTGAAAAAGTATAGGCAAAAACTTTTGTGACTTTAAAATTGCATTTTTTGGTGTGTGAAGCTTAGTCTGTACTTTATTACAGGAAAAGCATGTAAAATGATGGATACACAATTTTTATTTTACTATAACATTGAAAATAATGGTTAAATATTATTTCATTCTGTATCAGAAAAACAATTTTGTCGAGAACATTTTCCTTTACTAAGAAAAATTTTAAAAAGCATGCCAGGCATGGTAGCTCATGCCTATAATTTTAGCACTTTAAGAGGCCAAGGTGGGCAGATTGCCTGGGCCCAAAAGTTTGATTGAGACCAGCCTGGGCAACATGATAAAACCCATCTCTACAAAAGAATACAAAAATCAGTGTGGTGGCATGTGCCTGTGGCCTCAACTACTTGGGAGGCTGAGGTGGGATGAATTGCTTGAGCCTTGGCTCACTGGTGAGGTTTCAGCAAGCCAAGATCTTGCCTCTGCACTGCAGCCTGGATGACAGCCAGCCTCTGCCTCAAAAAGAAAAAAAAAATGCGCCAAGTAGATGAGGAAATTCTTATTTTTAGTTTTGGAACCTTAAATAATTTTCCTATGACATTTCAAAAATTATAGTTCAGGTGACTAAAATGAAAGTGTTCAGAGGAGGAAGTAGTCATCTCTAGCATTATTGAAAAGTTGAATTGGGTTAAGGGGTTCAGAACATGCTACCCCAAAATATGCCACTTTGGCTTATTGATTATTTTGAGTTGAAGCTGTTTGAGAAACAACAGATGCAGATAGGGCTCTTTGATCTCCTACTTTCCACCTAAAAGCAAATTATAAAATTGCCCATGAGAAAGGTCCCTTTCCTGTGCCAATAATAGGAGGACATTCTTATCACCAGAGGTTGGGAAGCCACACTGAAATAGACCTGTACAAACAGACCTGTTAAATAACCCCTGTCTTCCATGAGTCTCCCCCGTATATTTCCTAATTGTTTTCCCACAATTTACTGCCCCCAGCACAAGCTCTCCTGTCTTATCACGTTCCCATAACTGATCATTATTGTGTAAAAGGTATATTAAGTGTTTGGCCCTAATGGTTTCTTTTCTTCTTTTATTTTAACTTTTAGGTTCGGGGGTAAATGGGCAGGTTTGTTACTGAGTAAATTAGCTGTTTTGGGGGTTTGGTGCACAGATTATTTTGTCACCCAGGTAATAAGCATAGTACCTTGATGGGTAGTTTTTCCATCCTCACCCTCCTCCCACCTTCTGCCCTCAAGTAGGCCCTGATGTCTGTTGAATCAATGCAGGAATGGAAAATCTAATGCCTCATGTTCTCAATTATAAGTGTGCACTAAGCATTGACACAAAGAAGGGAACACATGGACACAAAGAAGGGAACAATATAATCTTCATTTTAATCATAAAAAACATGTACATTCTTTGAAATACAGTGTCAAATGTGTATAACATAATTTAGTCTTTAGGCAATGCCTAATGCATGTGTAGATTCCCAGCCCCTTATAATACACTCACTCAGTGAGAACTTAAAATATAACGTAACTACCAGTCAGTGATTCTTAATGCCTACGTTGGGAACCATTGTTTTTGATGATAGGCTTATCTCATTTAGCCACTGCTATCAAAAGTCTATGTTGTGAACCAGTAATTCATTAATTGATATTTTAATTCAGTTGTTTTTTGAAGCACTCTAAAACATTATTCTCTAAACGCTACTGTTTTAGTTTTTGGAAGATTTTTTTCCAAGTATTTAGTGAACTGGAATGAAGAACAAAAGCTAAACTTGTGTTTGGATAGTTTTTTTATTCAACAGTTTCATTATTTGACATGTCTTTGATAATCTATTTTCATTATCCGTATTTCAGCACTAAATACATTGGTAGGCTTAAGTCATCTTCCGCTATGCTGAGTGACCTTAGATGTCCCTGTGCCTGGTAGTCATCATTTGGATCTCAGTCTTTCTCTCTTTCTCAGCACGGTAATATTCTCATTATCAGTCAATTTGAATCACAAAAGGCTGACCTGGATGGACTAAAGTGGAGGCAGCCCTGCTGGCAAAATGTCCTGTAGCATGTTCATCTTCATCTCTGACTTAGACAAAGATTTTCAAGAGTTGAAAATGATGGCTCATTGTTCATTGCTCACAGGTTCTATTAATGTGATAATTTTTGCAGTAATGAAAATATACTAACATTTATGAGACTAATGATTTAGTTACCAGAAAATCAAAACAGAAAACACTTAAACTATCTGTGTTTCTACTTAGGCTAGAAGAAACTTGAGATTTCTCAGATACCAATGCATATTTAATTGTGGATTTTTGTATCAGGTACCATTTCTAGACATTTTGAGCCTAATAAATTTGAACATAATGATAGCTTTTATTAATTTTGCTGTAAATATGGTAATATTATATAACAACTTGTGGAAAATCAGATATTCAATTCAGATGCAACGCTCCATTTTCTTTTTTGAGTTTTTTTATCTGAAGTTGGTTGAACTCACAGATGCAAAAACCACAGATATGGAAAGCTGACTGTATGTATTTAATAATATATCTAGCAGACACATGGAGATAGCATAACTATTAGTAAATATTTAAAAGTTGACCACATGTTTGAACTTATTCTTTATGACTTGTCTAGGTAGAAATAATATAATCCCAAGGAGCAAAATTTCTATTCAATATGGGGAAGAATTTATAACAAGATTAGGTATGTTTGGTCCCAGGCTGGGTGGTCCCTTGCTGAGTCGTGATGGAAGTATAACAGGGATCTCATGGGTGTGTGCAGTAGATAGCCTATGAAACCCCTTTCAAACATGAGAATTTCTGAACAAAGAATTTCTGAAAGAAGAACTGAGTTCTCAGCAGAAATTATGATTTAACACTGCTCAAATACTCACTGTTAAATTTCTCTCTCAGCAAATATTGTACAATGTCTCATTCAACTCCTCCACTGTTGTTAATTCCTTAAGAGCTATACATTCAAAATTGTGCTAGATTCAGATGCAGCAGAATATGGAGGGCATCAGAGACTGGACCACAGCACTGACTTTTTTTCTGAGGCTTTTGAACATAATGGGCGTCCCTGTTCTCTTTTGGTAAGTAAGTTTCTTAACGTATTTCCTGCCATTTTAATTTAATCTTTTATTCCTTTACTAATGTTCTTGTTCAAATAAACAACTCTTCACATAAGCAACATGGAATAAAAGCGTGAAGGAAAGGAGTTAGCGAGAGGGGACTACACTTGACCAGATGTAATATGTGGTACTGGACTAAATTGGGTTTTTGAAAAACTAATAGGAAAGGATATTTAGGGGACAATTGGCAGAAATTAAATATTAATAGGATTCAAAACTATTTCTCAAGAAATGAGCAGAAGGCAGTTTTTTATTTTTCTTTCAATTATGAACATTTCTATTCTTTATGCAACAATTTTCACTTTCCTTCTGTTCTTGTTTTCTCCCTAACATTTTATATTAAGCAGATTTCTACATTATTGCCTAGCAAATGAAGTTCAATTTAAAACACCTTAAAGGAGTCAATGAAAAATGTATCTTTCTTTTCTTTCATGTAGTAAATTGAAGACTGAATTCATTCTAGTTATAAAATTCTCTATATTTTTTATAGTACCAAAGGAAGCATTATATGATTAGTAATTTTTACATTGTGATGTTGACACAAATAGAATGATAGAATGTTACTTTACTAGATTAAAATTCTTTTAAATATGTAGAATTTAGTAAGTCTCTAGATTCAGGGGAATTCATTATTTAATTTATGGCCATCTAGTAGGCTCAAAACCACATCTACCATTCCTAATTCCAGGAGGTATCTAACAAATATATGACTTTACCATAGCTGTTGAAGTTCTTATTTCATTAAATTCTCTCACTTTTCAAAAGTTTAGGTATAAAGTCAGGCATGAGAATGGCACCCCTAGGTCTTCCATATTTCTGCTGTTTTCTCACCTCTTAGAGTGATGCCAGCAATGAGCTTTGTAAGCTGCCATATTATATACAAAGTTGGTAGGCCAAGGGCCACAGCATAAAATAACTGAAAAGAGCAGGGATTACAAAGATTGAGTTGCTGGATTGTGGGCTGTGAGGAAAGTGCAATGAAAAGTCCTATGAGAATTAGGTGTTGCCCTAAATGTATGTGTGTGCACATGGGTGTGTGTTGATGACATTGATACAGCTTTAGATATGTCTGGAGAATGATACATATATTTTAAGAGAGAAGGCTCAAGGGTACTATCACATTCTTCAAGGAATTATTACTGTACTCTGTGAGAACATTCAATTTTGACTTGTAAAATAAGATTGATAAAAATAGTTTTGGAAGTGAGTAAGAAAATTACCATCAAGTTCTGAAATAATCAAAAGAGTTAGAGGCCCTTAGGGGTTAGGAAAGATGATGCAGCTCGCGAAGGGGAGTCCTGGGGAAGGAGCGACTGACTGCAGTAAAACTGAACTTTCACCAGTTTAACTAGACTGAAAAGAGTTGGAAAAACTCAGACAGCAAAATTCTTACCCAGCCAGCTTTTCTAGATGTCCACGTATCCCAACAGGCTTCTGTTAAGGAGAGCCTGATGGTATTGTGAAAAGATCACAAAACAGCATGGCAGAGAACCTGGCATCCTGCCCCAGTCAGCCATTTACTCACTGAGAAATTGAGTAATTTAACTTTTTTGCACTGCAGTTTCCCCACCTGTAAAATGAGGATTATTCATATTATCTTACTTACAGCAAGAGATTCTTTAGAAGCATAAACTCATAAACAAGGCCAAGCTTTATAGAAACTGTAAAATGCTATTTCACGTGTATTTTAAAGTTGTTATTGTCATGGCTAGGCAATTATTAGTTAGTAGTTTCAACATGTGAAAATGCTAAGTGTTTTAAGAACACACAGTTAAGAATATCTTCTCCCACCTTTAGGGAAATTATAATCTTAGGCGACAACTCAGACTCTTGGGAGGTGGGCAGAAAATACCTTGGCATCCTTTCAGTTTTGAGAGTAGAGATATGCTGGCATCATTGAGACGAGCCAAGTAACCAGTTTCGGCAACGTTGGGAGATTACTTTTCAAGTACTAATTGCATTGATCTCACCAATGTGAAAAATGCACGTTTAAATTATCAAGTAGAATAAAGAATATCTCATAAGTCTCAATAATAAATACATAGAGGAGGACAGCACTAGAAGAACATGAGAAACAGAAAAGAGCTTAACCACTGCTGCAGTAGAATTCTATTTTTTTTCCCCAAATTTAGCTGAGAGTGGTTCTACCTGAGTCATGTGCAGTTGGCTTAAATGTAAATTTCCAGATCTTTCTCTTGAGCTCCACATGTATATCTCCATCTGCCTATTAATCTTTAGGCTGGAGAAGATGTGATCACTGGTTTTAATGTCAGATTAAGGGATCCCACCCAGATCATTAAAATACAGAAAATCTAGGAAAACATGTTTCCTTCTTACCGGAGTTATTCAGCAAAGGGACGGGGGGCGAGGGGGGGGAAATCACATTAACAAATGTACCTATTCTAACAATGCTTCATTATAAGGGAACTCCTCATTAAACTGACTCATAAGTACTGGGATCCAGTGGAGTTCCTTAATCATGACCGTAAGTCCTGTAGGTCTTTTTGTTTTGTTTATTTTGTTTTGAGACAGAGTCTCGCTCTGTTGCCCAGGCTGGAGTGCAGTGGTGATATCTTGGCTCACTGGAACCTCCACCTCCCAGGTTCAGGCAATTCTTTGCCTCAACCTCCCATATGAATCAAAACTATTTGCCCTGTAAATCAAAACTATTTTCTGAATAGCCTCCCAAGTAGCTGGGATTACAGGCACCAGCCAGCACGCCCAGATAATTTTTGTGTTTTTAGTAGAGACAGGGTTTCACCATATTGGTCAGGCTCTTCTCAAATTTCTGGCCTCAGGTGATCTGCCTACCTCAGCCTCCCAAAGTGCTGGGATTATAGGCATGAGCCACCATTCCCAGCCTAGTCCTGTGGGTCTTACACCACTTCTAGTGAGATCACTCACGCTTCCCATACTCACAGACTAAAAGGAAGAACAAGATATAACTTTTTCTTCTTCCTTAATATTTTTTCCTATCATAACTAGTACACAGCATTTGCTAAAGCTTAATTTGCAAGCTTAATAATCCAAAGGATGTGCTGAGTAAGTGTCAAATCTGTTTTCAAAGATAGCAACAAACAGCTCGAAGGAATCTTAAAATAGCCGTGCATGCTGCAGCATTAGCAGGTACTGCCCTAGCTCCCTCAGTTGTCTCTGTGTGCTCCCTCAGTTGAAACTGTGAAGCCAGGGGATAACTGCATATGTGCCACCATTGAAACCTATTTGCTAAGGTCAGAGTATGTCACAGATGTCGAAAAGCAATAGGGCAGAGCTCCACCCGTCTGTTTTACTGGCAGGTATTGGAAACTCCATTTTAGCATAATCATTTCTCTATATTTTGATTCCTGATACAGGAACTTAGTATGTTAACCTGTATGTTAATCAGTGTGCTGGAGGCAAGGGACTTCCTTTCTCTTTTCTGATTCATAAAATCAAATTCCATGGCACAAATGGGAGAAAAGAGATTACTGAGTCTTAAATGAAGTAGATTTCTTTATAGTAACTGAATGATGATGATGAAAATGAGAATAAAGCAACAGATTTAGCTCTAATTATTTGGCAAGTAGGCTTCTTATCAATAAGAAGTAATCTGTTTACTCTCATTCTAAATTTGGAAGTTCAAAAGTAGACTTGATTTAAATATAGGATTTGGTATAGATGTATCATTTTTATTGTCCCTCAGTTGTGAGTTGTAATACAACTTAACAGTTGGAAAATATCTTTTGCTCTATTAAAAATTCTGAAAATACTCTTTTTTAGAAGAAAGAAAATCTAAATTTTAGTTCACCTTTTTTAATGTTTATACATTAGATGAGCTCATATGCATTCCTGTACAGGAATACTAGCATCACTTTTCTCCTAACCCCAATGCAAAATAATGAGAATTGGAATAAAAGAATAAAATGCATTTTTTCTTAGAAAATTATTTTATGAACTAAAGCATATATGTGAAAACTAAAATTATTTTATATCACCTTTTATTTTTCAAAAAGACTGTAATTTTATTATGAAAACAATATGTGTATGTAGACTGTGAAAGAATCTGAAGACTTTTTCATTGAATTATGTTTTGTTTGTTTTTTGTGAGACAGAGCCCAGGCTGGAGTGCAGTGGCAAAATCTTTCCAAGCAATTCTCCTGCCTCAGCCTCCTGAATAGCTGGGATTACAGCCACATATCACCATGCCCAACTAATTTTTGTATTTTTAGTAGAGACGAGGTTTCATCATGTTGGCCAGGCTGGTCTGGAACTTGTAACCTCAGGTGATCTACCTGCCTTGGCCTCCTAAAGTGCTGGGATTACAGGCATGAGGCACCATGCCCAGCCCACTGCATGATGTTTTCATTGTACCAGAATTATATGTGTATGTGCTATTTCTAAACTTAACAACTTCTAAGATAATTTTTAAATAGTCTTTAAAGTATTAAATATTTTTTTTATTTTAAAATTTTCTTTTTTTAAAATGTTTGACACCCTGTTTTCAAAAATTGTGTAATTAAATTTTGCAACTCAATTATTAGTCCTAGAGGAAAATGACATTTTGCCTGAATTACATAAAATAGACCATTGTGTGAACAGTTATTTTTTTAGTCACACTCATGGTTAGTGTAATAATTAACTCATTAAAGTCATCAAAATAACTGAGTAGATCAGCATGCATTTGACTCTCTTAATAAATGAATTGGATTGTACTGTGCTATTTTGATTCTTTGTGAATAGCTGACTATTAATATAGCTAGGAAAAAATGAAACTCATGGCTGTATACTACATTGTTTCATGTTCTTTTTCTTTTTTTTTTTTTTTTTCTTTTGAGACAGAGTCTCACTCAGTTGCCCAGACTTGAGTGCAGTGATGCAATCTCAGCTCACTGCAACCTCTGCTTCCCAGGCCCAAGCCATTCTCCTGCTTCAACCTCCCAAATAGCTGGGATTACAGGCGCCTGCCATCATGCCTGGCTAATTTTTGTATTTTCAGTAGAGACAAAGTTTCACCATGTTGGCCAGACTGGTCTTGAACTCCTGACCTCAGGTGATCTGTCCTCCTTGGCTTCCCTAAGTGCTGAGATTAGAGGCTCAGTGTCTCATGTTCTTAATGTGATTCTAGGTATAAAATGTTTAGGGCTTATAGGCTAATAAATGGGTATAGAGATATGTTTATCAGCATGCATATTATCTGTAATGTGCATAAGTGGCTTCTATATATAGCTACATCAATATGCTTTTTATATTTAAATATACTCAAATAATTGTGTTTAAATGTACTTAAATATGTTCATGTTTCTTTTCTCTTGCCATATGAATCAAAACTATTTTCTGAATTAAAATGATAAAATGAGAATTACAGAGCCAACACTTAGACTAAATTTTAGGAACCCCAAATTGTTCATGTCTGTAATTGTCTCGTCATGTGGGTTAGCTCTGATTATCTTAAGTCCTTTCGTATAATTAGTAGTAATTTCCTAACCAGTAAGAAAATTGATTTGCATACTCAGAAGAAAACTCAAAATTCCATAAGTAGCCATAGTTAAGAAAAATCACTTGCTCAGGGAAATTCTTACATGTTGCCTATACCACAAGGGCTCTGGAGCAAAATAAACACATTCTGGTAATTAACACTGCAGTGAAATATATGTATATAATTATAAAATATTCCTGTTAATGATATTATACAATGTGAACCACAGGTTTTTTTTTTAAGCATATTGCATTAAGAGGTCTCTAAGTAAATGACCAAAATGCCATTATAAATCTCTTTACATAAAAAGACCAGCACCAGTTAGTGAGTATTCTTGAAGCATTTTTAACCATTAAATACCAAAATGGAAATATATTGCACTGCATATATTACAAACCCGGAACTTTGTTTATTGTGTCATAAAAAAGTTATTAAATTTAGGGAAGCTCAAGTGCCACAACATCAAAGAGTAAGACTCTTTCTAAATTATCATTATGTAATTATTATATTTCTTTAATGAAATAATGAAGTTATGAATGAAAGCATAGGATCCAAATCTGAGCTATATCACTATCACACGCTTACAGGGACCTGTCACTATTTATCCTAGGCCTGCCTAATGTGTTTTACTGCAACCTTCTCAGGAGCCTTGGACTTGTTAGAGTCTTTTTACCTGCATTGTAGGACAGCACTCTCTAAGATAAACGTTTTGAATGTAGAGGGAACTGAAATTCTTTTGTCCAGTTTCTGGTTCTACTGAAATATTTAGATTGGTTTTCAGTTTTAGGTTACTCGTGGCAGAACAATTCAGAACCACTCAAATTGTAACCTTCTGTCCCACTGATTAAATTCAGTTACTGTGATCTCCAAAATGAAATATGGAGACTAGACCCCCTGGTAAGTACATGGGAAACTCCTTTAGAAGAGTAGGTCACTATCTCAATTTGTACCTGTTTTGATAGGATGTAGGGAGGTAACGGGTTGAGTCAGACTGTTGGTTTCTTTTATTTCTCTTTCTTTGCTTTGGTTTGTGTTCATTTTGTCTGTAGTCTGATTATGGAAATGTTCCCTCCTTTGGACTGGATCAGTCTGGATCTTTGGTAATAGTCCTGCTTTATTAGTGGATAACTCCAGCTTCCTTTTATTGAATCAGTCTCATAACTTCTTATGTATCTCAAAGAGAAAACATTGCATAGAAAGGATTGTATTAGCAGTGAAATTCTGATGTGGTTTGATAGTTATAAGATATAAATACAATGTGTGAACTATAGGGAAATAGTTTGTAGCACTGAAATACATGGTTTTCTCACACTTAGTGACTACATGGAGGTAATTTTTTTTTTTTTTAATATTGGGTTTGAGCTACACAGTGACTGTTAGCATTTGTTAGTCTTTTTCAGATGATATTCATTCCCTAAATCACTATTACTTTTAATTGAAGATTAGAAAAACTGTTCTCTAGCCATTAAATCCAGAATATAAATTTCTTTAAATGTCACCATTTTAAAACTGCTTTAACTTTTTTGATGTTCAAAACTAACCAACTGTATTGATATGTCTGATTTTTTTTAAAGAGTGTTATCAGTTCTTTATTGTGAAAGCTTAAGAGAAAACATTGTGTTCCTTTGCAGAGTTGACATCCACTGGACATACAAGTCTCATTCTGTGAAAATCAACCATTTTATTTCTTTTATTTTAACTTTTTTCCTAAAGTCATGTTTGCTTTGCACTTTCACTGTGGTTCTAACTTCTGCAAGCCTTTTCATTTAGAGATAAAGTAACTGAAAATAGTAAAATGTCAGCAAAGTCAGAAATGAAGAGAGATTGTCACAATGACAACCATCAATAATATTATTTTTACTGTTTGCTTTATTAATACTTAATATTGTTTGAACTAGCATATAAGTAAGCATTAAGTAGTTCAAATCACTTCTCAATTTTATAAAAGATTTTTCAGGTATATTAGAAAATACCTTGTTAAATATGCACCTGTTGATCCATTAATATTTCTTTGTTCATTGTTGATTTTTAAAATTCAGTCATCATGAACATCTGCCTCATCTAATAGCACCAACCAAGAGTTAGAAATAAAATGTATAACTTCTGCTTTTGGAAAGCTCATAGTCTAATGAGGGAAGTAGATGGTAAACTTGAAAAATCACTCACCAATCGTGTTAAGTGTTCAGAAAGAAAGAAACAAACAAGCCGCCATAATTGGAAATGGAGAACCTACCATGTCTACTGTTGTCAAGGAAAGCCTCTCCATATAACTGGGATTTCTCCAAGACATAAGGAACCAGAAAGGCAAAGAGTGTTTACAGTAGAAGATCCAACAAAAGGGGGAGTGTTTGATGTGTCCAGGAAACGGAAAGACTCCTGAGGCTGGAGTATAGTGGGTGAAGATGCAAGCAAGGAACTGAGCTGGGATACCAGATGTAGGCAGGGAGGAGCAGGTCAGGGCCGTGCGGGCCATGGAGAGAATCTGAATCTAGCTTGAGTGCAATGGCAAGCTTACTCATTGGTTTAAATTGGAAAGTGGCCTAAAAGAGAGTCAGGATTCCTTATGTTTCAGTTTTTCTTCTTGAGAGGAAAAGACAAGATTACAAATAAAAGTGTCTTGATGCAAAACCAGTGCTTTGTGTATTGCTTGTCTTCATCTAAGTGAGGTAGTAACATTGCAAACTGCAGGGCAGCCTTCCTTCGCCGCCTGATAGAGCCTCAGCATGGTAAAAACAGGGCCATTGATACCATGCTTGTGTGAGGAGCATTGATTTTCATTAAGTCGTATGGAGCCCTCTAGTGGTGGTTGCTTTATGGTAGTCTTGTAGCTGCAGAACTGTTGGAACTGGGAAATTGAGCCTTCTAAGAGCTGGGAAAATTGTAAAGCTAACTGTAACTTTAGGCAAATGTGAGATTACATCATGCCTATGTTTCTTTGACATAATGACAGCCTGTTTGGTACTTTCTTCAGCTGCACTGACATAATTGTTTTGACATAGGTGTACATTCCAAGCAGAGTGGCCCTCATCCTTCAGAATGTGGATCCGCCGAATTGAAGAGGCCCGATTTCAGCTCCACCGGATGCAGATTTGTGTTTTGTTTTCTTGCTATCACTGTCACACAGCTTATAACATGTATACTCTTCAGAATACAGTTGTCTAGCCAAACCGTCAGCTGTCTAAAAATCAATATTGGTATATGCAAATACAGCAAACTTTTAAGAAGTAGATAGCAGAATATGCTGAAAATATTAGGAATCATAGACCGTATTTTCAAGTCATCATAGAAGCTGGGATTCAAAAATGGAAGAGTTATATATAATATGTTAAAAAAAATGTGCTTTCCTGGCTATTTGATTCTTTTAAATTCAAATTTGAATCATTTGTCATGTATGATTATTTCTGTTAAATGTACACAATATTTAAGATGGATATTTGGTGGCTGTATTTGTTCTGATATCTTTTGGTCTAATTATGAGGTACCAAGATTGTTGCTTTTTTTTTTTTTCAAATTGTGTCTAGAAATACTGTAATTAATGTACAGTAGTGACAGGAAATAAAGAATTATATCAAAGATAATTTAAAAGCCATTACCTACTCACTCATTCTTGTCTCATTTTGTATATGTTTTATTTTGTGATCTCTTGTCCACTTAGTATGTAGTCAAATCCCAATACCTCAGTCTTTCTGAAACCCCAAAATGGTAATTGTAGCATTTCAGAAAATGTCTTTCATTTCAGTCAATAAAAAGCATTTGTAAAATTGCCTTTGCTAGTATTTATTTTGCTATATTATCATAGAGCTTGATTTTAAGTGAACATTACTATGCCTTACCTCAATTCTGATACCTTTACCACATACATTCACATGTACATGATGGACTGGGAAGCATGGAGATTCTTTTTTCTTTAGGTACAGTTTTATAGCTTGAAATGACACTAACGAATTTTGATATCTAGGCTACTCCTTAGCTGTAAAACTGAACACTTTTAGAAGCTAAATTAAGCATCTCAACTCAGTAGAATACTTCTTCATGAATGTGCCCCTCGGTCAATTAAATACCAGGACATAGGTCCAAGATCACTGATTCATAACTGAGAGACTATAATGCACTTATGGGACATAAAGTATCTGCTACTTTTTTTTAGGATCTAATTTTCCCTAATATTTATACTGACTGCTTGGGGTTTTTTTGTTTATTTTTAGCCTGGTTATTTGTGATTAATTAGAAATGCTTTAAGTTATTTCATTAAAAACTCAGTAGGAGAGAGAAGCAACAGAAACATTTTTATAGCCAAACCTATACTGTATATTAACCATCATCTTTAAAGTGTTTTTAAATAAAGCCTTGAGCATCTACGTGTTAAAAGTGTTACTTACTTTAACTTCTAAACAGAACAGTATTCTGATTTCTTGGCAGAATCAGCAGTGCCAACGGATAATGATACATGCTGGGGAACATTGAAAGTCATCTGTCATGGTTTTCCCATTGCATGGACATTATTAATATCTTAGCACTGCCTTGTTCTGTGTCCTGTGACTGTTACTGATGAAAACACAACATAGAACCATGAAGCATGACATTTCATGTTCTAGTTTATAGTTCCTTAATTTTGCATTTGTTATGTATGAAGAGATATACTGTTTTTCTATTCAGAATAGTTTTGAAATTACAATAAATTATTGAACACCTAGAATCCATTTACTTTTCATTTTGACCTCTATGGCAAAGTGAGGAAGACCAGACTAATTATATGCCATATTTTCATTATATTGATTGATTTTGCTAATAGGTTCTTTAGATTTCAGTCTAAAGTTAGAATTTAACAATGTAATGTAAGTTAACTGCCCCTCTCGAGTGCCCTTCTCCCCCACCTGGAAGAGCAGTAAGTGCATGTTGCCAGGTAGAATTTACAAAAACCAGGCAAACAAATATTAAGAGTGCAAAGTGGAAAGCAGCTGGGTTCGACTACAGCACAGATGACCTTCATAAGACATTCTGGTAGTTGGAATTTTTTCCTGTAGGACTTTTCATTTATGTATCAGTAACATTCTCATTGTTGTATCATCTTGGAGAAAGTTTTTTATTGCCTAAATGTTTTCAGTCATCAAAACAGAGTTGCAAAATTTTACTCTTTGTATCTTAGTGTCTTTTCTCTGACATGCTTATTAACAACATCAGAAATGATCGTGACCTGTCCTTGTTGACTTTTTAAAAATATTTTTGCTGTTTTTTTTTATGTTCTAGAAAACGTGAGTAAAGATTTCTTGCTATCATTTTCTAAGTAGTTGCCCTATTATCCATAATAGGATTTACACATAATGCTAGAGATGCATACAGTTTTAGTTTAATAAATAGCCTACTCAGAAAATGGCCAAAAATTGAATTGTAAACATTTCTTTTAGAATGTATGTCACTTTTAACACTGGAACTCTTGAGAATGAACTTTTCTCATATTCTCTTTTCTATAAATTTAATGTTTCTCACTTTGCCCTGTTCTTAACCGACGTGTTGATCTCTAACCTAAAATGAGGGGGTTAGCTGCCATGTTCCTCAAGATCAAAAAGTAACAGCTGTAAAAAAATGCAAGTATTGTTTTCTCTGACTGAAGCACTCCTCTTAGCAATATCCATTCCACATTTGTCACCCATCAGGGTTATAGCCATTGCTATGGGAATCATACAGAAAGTTACCTGAATAAGAAACCTGTTCTTCAAATCATACGAAAGAGAGTTCAGACAGATCGGGGGAAGCAGTAAAGGGTAATGTGTTTTCCTCTTGCACTCACTTTCAGCTTCAGGAAAAATACCTTTTCACTGTCTCTGGTCCTGAAGCTATTGAATCTGCTGAAGAAACCAATGTAAAATAGCTTCCCTATTGCTCCTCCTATTTAGAATGAGCTGGAACAGACAGACCTGATAGAGACCAAAACTGAATCAGCTTGCTGACTGCCCTTGTGCCTCTCAGACTATTTCTTTTTGCTATTTTGAGACATGCCCTAAACTTGAGGTCTTCAGAGTAGTGAGTTTCATTCTCTCTCTATTCCTTATAAGGGGACAAGCACTGAGCTATGAACTTTGCGAGGTAGGATATTCTGATAAAAGAAAATAGCATAGCAATGTCACGTCCTTTATGCAGTAGAGTTCATTTATCATTCACAATGTGTTCGAACAGAAATGTAGATAAATTTTCTCACTAAAGCCAGCCTTTAGGGGGGGAAAATAAAATGAACTCCCTGCTAATTTTTCTGCTCTGTTATCTTATTAATGGTGATTTGTAGAGAATTTCAGAGAAACATTCATACTTTAGGGCAGAATTTCTTAATTAGTAGTGTGAGGAATTATAATAGAGCAGCTGTAAGTGTTTTTGGCTCCATAAAGTGTTAATCTGGATTTTAACCCTTGGCAAAAACCGTGCAGGGGAAGCAGTGTTTATGAACATGAAAAAAATGTATTTTGTGCTAGATATGCTTAGGTTAATGACATGTCTTTCAGCAGCTAACTTATGACTTAGTTTTTCTTGTCATTTCGGCTGGACCAAAGAGAGGTGTTTAGGCTTCTTATATGCTGTGTAGACGGTTTTATCTGGAAGCCTGAGCTGTGTTTTAAAAGAATAGTGTGGTTAGGAGAGGTGGGCTCGAGTCACAGCTCTTCACTCTCAGTGCCTCATTGCTTATGTTTCCTTTTGGGACGTGTGGATGTCCCAGTGAACTCCTTTTCCCTGCAGTTAGTTTAATGCCCTCTTAGTGTTTCAGCTACTCTCAGGCTTTGCACTAATAGAACCCAGCCTTGGGAATGACATTTAACAGTCTCTTTATGGTGACCACTAGGGAAATGTAAACTAAATGCAAAATAAAAAATCTCAGATCCCAGCATAGCAGCCAGGTGTCAAGGTTCTCTATTTCTTTCCCTCTTCCCCTCCTACTCACAACCTAGGTAGACTACAGGCAGAAGGAGTAAGTGACAGAGGAAGCAAGAATGGCAAAAGAGAGCTCATGGGTAGAAACAGTTTGGTTCATCTTTTTTTGGAATGAAAGTCTGTACTCTCAAGAACACACAATGTTATTAAATAAATGTCTATACCCTAGATGTTTATTTCTTGAAGATGGGGGAGAGATATCAACCACTGACCTGAAATTTCAACATCTGTCTGGTAGTAACACTAAGGCAATACAAGGCAGAAAACAGAAAAGCTATTGTGCCAAATTACTTTGCACACAAGAATATGAATTAAATGAAGTAAGTGCTCAAATTGTTTATGCATACTTGTCTAAGGTAATGCAGGAAATAGCTGTAAATGTGTGAATCAACTCATCCAACATATACATATTTATAACACATATGAATGTGTGAATAAACAGACATATATAATTTGTAAGTCAACTGAGAACACGAAAAGTTCACTAATTCTAATATTTGACTTGAGCCAGTGAATCACTTGATCTCTGTGTGTGATACTTGTACTCAATTTTAGGTATTTATCTGGTTACACACAAGCATTAAACCCAAACAAATGATTTTATTTGGATTTAAAGAAGGTTCGAGATCTGTGCAAAGAAATGCAATAGATATGTTTCAAGTCTTTGGAAATTTTTCACCTCAAACTAATGGTGAGTCTTTTATATTTCCTTTAGAAAGGAAAAGGAGGAGATGAAACAACTTTATTACTTCTTTATTTATGTCCAGTAAGGATTCTTTTTTAATTGTTTGTAGTGTCACTTTTTATTGACTCCCATAATATAAATGAAAAATACTGTGTGTAAATTGCACACATGCCCCAAGCCGTGCTGTCAGTTATTGATGAAAGCTGATCAAGTGATGCAGCATGCATACACACACAGTCAGTCTCTATTCCCGCTATTGCCTTTCTTATGGTAAGTGGGCATCACTCACTGGGACTTTTCTATGTAGAGAAATCAGCAGAATAGCTACTTCTTTACTGAAACATCTGTTTTTTAGAGGACATACTGTTTTGGCTACTATGTATTGAGTCCTCTCTTTTTACTGTGTTCCTGTGCTGGACACATTTTTGTTCTTAAACTGCAAAATTATTATGATTGCACCACCTTTGTCTAGGCTGTGCTGATCTCACTGTTCGCAGCTGTCTTGTGTGCTGTTTACACAAAGGATCACCGGAAATCTCTAAATCAGGGATCAAAAGCCCGCTCTCTCTTTTGTATTAGTTTGCTTGTTTTCCTTTAATTGAATCTGAATGTCTTTGTTGGAGGAGAGGGTGTCACTTGAAGCCACATGGGAGGGTGGGATGCCCCACTTTGCTGTGAGGTTGTGAGGCATGAGTTTGGAGGACTGCCCCAAAGGCTGAGAGCTTGTCCCAGCGTCTTCCTCTATCTGCATTTGTTCACCATTTTCATCTCCTGCTGTCACACTCTCCTTCATTTCCTTGTTGGACGTTTTGCCTCATGATACCTATTCTGTTGTATGACTCCTTAGCACGTCATTGTTTTCTTTATTGTCTCTGCCATAAGGAGACCTAGGAATTATTGTTTGTATTTCTCCTTTATCCCCATCATAGGAATTATTGTTTGTATTTCTCCTTTATCCCCATCATTTCTAAAATTTGAGCATGATTTGAGCATGATATCTTGTCTTTATTTCTTAAATCTCCCATTCCACTCATTTATAAAGAAAAAAGTTCTAAGTCAGACACCAAAAGACAAATAGTACCGCATGTTCTGACTTATATGCGGGATCTGTAAAGGATGAAATCCTAGAAGCAGAATAACATGGTAGTTTCTGGGGACTGGG